GTCCCTTTCTCTATTCCCTGTACACATTTGATTGCACCCCACTGTATGAGTCCAACACAATCATCAAATTTGCGGATGATACAACAGTGGTGGGGCTCATTAGTGAGAACGATGAGACTGCTTATAGGAAAGAAGTACAGGGGTTAATTCAATGGTGTAAAGAAAACAATCTTATGCTTAACACCAAAAAAACCAAAGAACTCATAATTGACTTTAGGAGAAAGAAAAGTGTATTTTTACCATTGCACATAAATGGCGAGGAGGTGGAGAGGGTTGGTAGTTTTAAATACCTGGGCATTTATATCTCTGAGGACCTCTCATGGACTGCAAATATTAATATGGTTGTGAGGAAGGTGCAGGGGAGGTTGTATTTCCTGAGAATGCTCAGGGGACTGAATCTATCTCAGCACCTACTTCTGTCCTATTATCACAGTACCATCGAGAGTGTCTTAACCTATAGTATATTATCGTGGTATGGGAGCAGCTCTGAAACGGATAAAAAAGCTTTACAGAGAATAATTAAAATTGCCCAGAATGTTATTGGGCTCCAACTACCAACCCTGGATGAGATCTTCACGTCTCGCACTTTGAAGAAGTCACACAATATCCTGAGAGATCCCACCCATCCTGCACACAACTTCTTTGAACTGTTGCCTTCGGGCAGAAGATATAGGACAATGAAAACACGAACTACACGCCTTCTGAACAGTTTCTATCCAAGAGCTCTGATTGCACTAAATAATGATCTCAGGGCCAGTTGCAAGGAATAGCAAGCAGGGAGTAGGAAGGAATGAGATAGGTTTTAGGTTATGTTATGCCTTTAATAGGTTATGTTATATTCTGGATTATGTTATGTTTTTATAGATTATGTCTGAATAGGATGAGAGTGTTGGAGATACGTGCAAATGTGTATGTGAACCCGGTCTTTGGGTGGGTGTTTGATTTTCGTTGTTGGGTATACTGTGTATATACGGACAATGACAATAAATTTATCTATCTATCTATCTATCTATCTATCTATCTATCTAAGCACAAGTCTCCATTTTGCCAATCATGAAGCAAGATTGATAACTAAGGGCTGGTAACATTTGCTTTTGCGCTCTTCTGGTGTCTTTCTCTGTTTGTCTTTATTTATTTAATGTGCTTGCACAAGTACACAAATATCTGTGTGCATGACCAGAATGGGCAAGTGTGTTGAGGAGAGGGGCAAAATACACAGCATGGATACGTTCCTTCAAGCACCACCTACTGTGTGGACAGTAAGTGGATGAACAGCAATGCATATCCACAACTGGGGGGGTGGGAATGTGTGGAAGTTAACATGCCAGTCGTACAAACACTAAAAACGATGCATTTGTGACACAAAGCCCTGTCTGGAGGTACCCTTGCCCCATGGTACGTGCGCTTAGGATCACTGCCTTAGTAAAAGAATCATTCAGCACAGTATATTATTTTATGTTTAATAACACTTTGTTATAAACGTCTTTTTCCCATGGTGTAAATATTCCACAATCTGGCATGGTTTTCCTTCCTGATTAATTATGCCATTTCCCCCTCCAAAAGTCTGTTGAGAAAATTACTCTTTTATATTCTTTAATTCTTTGCACAAATTCACGGAATCATAGAAAAGTAAAGTTGAAAGGGACCCCGGGGCCATCCATACCCACGACCCTGAAATTAAATGTCTCATGCTGTACCCACTGAACTATCCCGGGGCAACATATTATTTTCAACAGTCTGCATGCTGTGGAAAACACACACAGAAAATACAGATATAAGCAGATGGCTGCTAGCTGTAAATGTACAGCTCAAGTTATATTAAAGAAGAGTTTGGATTTAAGAGGCATACTCCTGGATGGATGAACTGGTAACAAGCACTTGCCATTTAAAAGCCCCACACAGACATGCCAGTTTTAAGTGATACTTCTGAGAGAGACCAGCTACTCCAGCAGAGGATTTCTAGGAGCAGAAATCAGGAAATGGTTAAGTAAAAGCAGGTGGAGCACTCTGAGAGCAAAGCAGGAAATAGCAGTGTGTCTGAATGCATTCAAAAGAATGTCTCTCCCCCTCAGCCTTTGGGCAGCTGCAGTGACTAGCTATCCACCCACGCCGCCTCCTCCTCCGCTGCCCTTATCTCTATCGGCCCCAGAAGACACACAGTCTTGAAGGCCACAAACACCATTGGCCTGAGTAATCCTCTGCAATTCTGAGCCAGGCCCTGGGAGCATTAGGAGGAAGCTGCCTGGAAGGCAGAAGAAACAAGAGACCCACCCAGTGCATTAGGGCTGAATGAGCAAGAAAACACCCTGTAAGTGCCAGAAGCTGTTCCTGAAAGAAGCTGCCTAAAGCCGAATGCTCCTGAAAAACAAAACAAAACGAATATTCGGGAAAATTATAACACATTTGGAACAGGCTACTTTCAGTCTTACAGGGCTTTAGACGTAAGGAATCACTTTATTCTAAAAACAACACTCTCAGAGATGGAACCCAGGAACTTATTGTTTCCCCCCTGTTTGGAATATGTTTTCTTTCTAATAACAGTTTAGAATGACGAATATTCATAGTACAGGAGTACCTCAGCTCCCGAATGCCTTGGGAGTCAAACGTTACAGCAACTGAACGATTGAAACTGGAAGTGAGTCTTCTGGTTTTCAAACGTTCTTTTGGAAGCCGAACGTCCAACGGGGCTTCTGCAGCCAATCAGAAGCCATGCTTTGGAAGTCAAACGTTTTGGAAGTCAAACGGACTTCCGGAAGATTCTGTTCGACTTCCGAAGTACAACTGTAACTGATAACTGTTACATCCATCAGATGACAGAGCAGCAATTGCAGCAGCAGAAGCTCCCAAGTTTTAAATATCTTGATTTCCCACCTCAATCCAGCTGTATTCATTGTAAAGTCAAGATGGCTGTGTCCCATTAGTATGAATTTCAATATGGGGAACCTACCTTGTGAGAAATTTGTCTAACTTTCAGAGAAAGCCAATTAAACATGGTTGAATTAGTGTAGAATTTTTGCTTCAAACTTCAGACATTCCACTGTTTGCAACTGACTTTCTGCCCCTGAACACCAGTGTTCATTTCTCTCTTTGCCAGCTAAGCTAATTTTTTTTAAAAGAAAAGGGATATTGCATGGGTGAGCCTTCCACTGCCTGGAGGGAGGTTAACTTTATATTCCCAAGCTTTGTACTTGTCAAGGCAGGAGGCTACCAGGGCATGAGAAAGCCATGCGGGTCCAAGAATGGCCACAGCTGGAAAGCTAGGTGTAACTGGAAAAATGGGACTTGGCTTACTGTGAACTTATGTTCCCAGTGACACATGGAGGGTAGTCCTGTCTTTCTCAGGACTGCTCAACAGGCAAGATCAAGAGTCTTCAAACTGGTCCTCATCTGGGGAACGATCCTATGTCTACCCAAGATGCCACCCATTTGGGCGATGCCACCCAAGTGCATGAGCCTTCTAAGGAGTTGCTTTATCAATTGCCAGGATCCAACCCTTCCTCATCTGAGGTGTCAACAGGTCTGTGAAGAGAATACAAAGATGGACCTTGGCTTCTTTAAGAACTTCATTATTTCCTAAGGAGGATGGGAGCTTGCATCATTCTATATGGCACCGTCATGCTCTAGAAGTTGTTGGAACAAGTTATCTGCCAGGGAGATTTCACTACCCAGCTTTAGCACGGAATTCTGCTTTCTATGGCACAGGTCCAGTGCCCCTTGCTTGCTGTTACATGATGCTGTGCTTCACACTGCAGACTTCTTGGCAAGGACTGGTGTGTCTGGGTGCGTGCATGCATGCACACGTCATCTGATTACTTTATTGGTAGTGGTGATCGATTGCAGCCCAAGGACTGCATGTAACTTTTATATGCCATGTGATACATGTGTAGTCACTTTTTCCTGTCTGGAAAATAGCTGTTGTGTAATTTCTGTTCCACTTTTCCAGCCATTGAGTGCACCCATTAACTGCTCTCACATAGTCAGGGGCCAGGGGTATCGTGCACCCATCTCAGTGGCATACTCCAAAATTATGCCACTGTGGCCATGCTCAATAACCATGCAGCTTTCCTAGCAGGCTGCATTCTGTGGGCTCATCTGTTTCTCCTCCTAGCTACAAGAGGTATCTGTGGTCTTCCAGATGTTGCTGGACCACAATTCCCACCATCCATGGCAATTGGCCATGCTAGCTGTGACTTATGAAAACTGGAGTTAAACAACATTTAGAGGGCCACAGGCTCCCTATCCCTGCTCTGCACCTGGAAATGGACACCTTGCCCCTGGGGCGAACTTTGGTAATTTTGGGTAATATGGCATCCTGAGTGAGGCCAAAATTTGGCATCCTCAAATGGGTCTTCTCAATTATGGATCTCCTTCATTTTGTGCCTCCTCGGCTCAGCACCCTGTGCTGGGGAACTACCCGTACCCCTCTAAATCTGACACTGCTCATTCACTTCTGTTCAATGTCTTCACTCTCTGGTTAGATTAAAGGTAAAGGTAAAGGGACGCCTGACAGTTAAGTCCAGTTGCGAACGACTCTGGGGTTGTGATGCTCATCTCACTTTACTGGCCGAGGGAGCCGACGTTTGTCCACAGATAGTTTTTCCGGGACATGTGGCCAGCATGATTAAGCTACTTTTGGCGAAACCAGAGCAGCGCACGGAAACACTCTTTACCTTCCCGCCGGAGCAGTACCTATTTATCTACTTGCACTTTGATGTGCTTTCGAACTGCTAGGTTGGCAGGAGCTGGAACCGAGCAACGGGATCTCACCCCGTCGTGGGGATTCAAACCACCAACCTTCTGATCGGCAAGCCCTAGGCTCTGTGGTTTAGACCACAGGGCCACTCGCGTCCCCTGGGTAGTTTAGGAAGGGTCTTTATGGTGTCTGCGCCTGATATAAGGAACTGCGAGTCTCACTGCTGTAACCCTTGAATAATGTGTGGTCCTCTTTTGGGTCGGGATAACTATCTAATCTCAGTTTCTTCTTTCTCCCTCTTTTCCAGGGCCCACAACTATGATTGAGGTCAACACTCCCTCACTGTCCCAGTAAGTACCACAAATCCGCTTGAGGTTCTTGTAGAACAGTGTTTCCCAACCTTTTTTGGGCAAAGGCACACGGAGGTAGGCTGGTGTGCCGTGGGAGGGAGGCGGGCGGCGAGAGGCGGGGCGGCGGCGGCGAGCACACGCGGGGCGGCGAGCGAGCTCCCTCCCACATCCCATCGCCGCTCGCTCCAGTAGGCCGGCCGAAGCGAGCGGCGATGGGATGTGGGAGCTCGCTCGCTCGCCGCCCCGCGTGTGCTCGCCGCCGCCGCCCCGCCTCTCGCCGCCCGAGTCGCCCGCCTCCCTCCCACGGAACACAAGGCAACGTTCCGCGGCACACTAATGTGCCGCGGAACACCGGTTGGGAAACACTGTTGTAGAAGAATCATGACTTAAAAATTGAGAACAAAAGCTATCTTGCAATTGCATGGAAAATGAGTTCAGCAAAAGGTAGCAGACCAAAAAACCCCAAAACTTCTTGCTTGCATAAAATCCCAGATTGTGCGTCTGCATTGGGGCAGTTCACTTTGTGTCCATTCTGACTTAAAAGAGGCTTTCAATAGACTTTTGAATGCAAGGACTAAGGGAGGGTGAGAAATTAGAAAACTTTCCTTAAATCTTTGCCCTCTTCAGAGCAAGCACAGACATGGAGAGAATGGCAGATATGCATGAGAAGCTCAGTACCTCTGACCTTGTGACCTTTGAGTCCTGTATTCCAGGAAATGTATTCTTCCTTTGCCTTGCCTGTTTTTTTTTTTTTAATGTTTGTATTTACTAGGCCTCTCCTGGGATCCCCTGGTCTTCTCTTTGCTGATGATCCTGTCTTGTGGCTTTAAGGGAACACAGCTATTTGTGGATCAGCATTCAGACAACATGGTTAAACATTGCAACAAAACGGTTAATTAAATGTTTATGAAGTCTCCCACAGTTCTTCCAGGGGAAAAGCAAGCAAACAACATTGTGTAATTCAGACCCATTCATCCACTTGCCTGAAGCTCCGTGACACAGTGAAAGATTATCTTGCATTAATCCTGGTTAAGTTAACTAGGCCATTCTTCACCCACTACAAGGCAAAGGACTTCATCAGAATCCTGCCTATCCAAACATTTGTTTTGCCCATTTCAGAATTATTATTTTTTTAAAAACCCTGCTACGTGAATTTTTTTATGTAAGTGCATTTGCTTGAGAAACAAGTAGCTTTTCGGACTATATGCTTTCAGGTATGTCAAAATGAAATTGTTCTGCCATGTTGCACATATTAATTTTTTGTTGCACAGTTGATAGTGGAAAAACAGTTTTTCTGGGATTCTGAAGAATTTCAGGAGGTACCTGTTAAAATTCAAATAAAAGCTTCAGAAGTGCAACTCGTGCAGAATTGACTGAGAATGGGTCAGGATTTCCTAATATATTTTGGAACATGGCTTCTTCTTCTTCTTTAGCCTGCTCATTTTACCAGAAATGAGATTTCTACACCCAGAAAAATGAGAGTATGTGAATCAATACAGTTGTACTGATTCTTATTTTAGTTATTACACTGCTGTAGACTCAAGTCCTGTTGCTGATCTGCAGTTATTGCTCATCTTCCAGCCTTGAAACATTGATTATTATCACTTTGATGAGTAGATTGGCATGCTGATAAATTTCACAGTTGCTTCTGTATCCTATATTGTAGTGTCCTTACGTAATATAAATATTGCTTGGCAAGGCTTATCCTTTATTTGCATCCAAAGGTATTAGAATGCTAGGAGGAATCATTATTAATTTCTTTCCACTGCAGTCTCAGCAATATTGCAAAGCTGTGGTTTGCACCACCCATTTTCAGCCTGGTTCGCACGGTGTGTAAGCCAAACTATGGTATACCGAGACCACAAGGATGTGCAGGCTCCTGGAGACGAGCCTGCAGTACTTGCTCCTCTAAAGTTCTTTTTACTCTGTACTGTGGAGCATGTTGATTTTCCACACAGCTGAAACACTCTCTTTTATATGGTTAAATAAACAGAATATTCTGAACTGCATGAAAGGAAGGCCAAACTAGACATGAAGTGGGAGATCCCTGTTTGGATCTTCTAATGTCTTTCGTTTTGCTATTGTGTGTTTGTTAAATTGGGGTTCTTGTATTGAGAGAAAGGGGTTAACCCTTCCCATCATTCTGTTTCCCCAGATAAATTTCCCCCAAGTTTCCTCAAGCTGCTATTGGGCACAGGATAGAAAAAGGTATCTGTATTTATTATTGATTTATAAAAATATTTATATATCACTATTCATTAAAGAAATCAAAGTGGTTTACAACCACACATATATGCAATGAAAACCATGCACATATTTAAAATCAAATATCAACTATTACAGAAATCTGAATTATTAATTGCCTGCACAAGCCTGGCAGCATAAGAAAGTTTTCAGCAGACATTTAAAGATTAAAACAAGAATCTCTATTGGCTGAGCACTCCAGAGGACTGGGTCAAGGACGGTAAAAGCTCAATTTCTTGTTGCCATCAGATGACCCTTGCCAACTCGGAACAACCAACAACACAGCCTTATATACAGTGCCCTGCATCATCAATCCATCATTGATCAGGTAGTATCCAGTCAGGCCCTATGAACTGGAATTAATCCCACAACACTGGGTTTGATGTTGGGTTGGACATGTCAGCACACGTTGCCACAATACCAGTCTCTAAACCACTGTGGAGCCAAGCAGCATTGTCTTCCAAGTGTTTAGCCAGCCAGGCAGACACTATGTGCTCCAGAGGTCTGCCCTCCTCTGAACTACATGGAACAACTCTCCTGGGCAGTTCCTTGATGATGCTGTTAGGTTGGGTAACTCCAGGATAAACTGAAATTGTCAGAAGGGACAGACTTGCATTCTGTCCTTTAACACTATTTCCAAACAGAATGCTGCTGTGACTCCAACATAGCAATGCAATGGAGGCAGCAAAGTAGGATCTCTTTGCTGTTCCCTCAGCCATGTGGCAGGCCCAATTATAAGCTTGAGCACATGTTTGGTTGGTTCTAGAGGGAGATTGATGCCACTTATGCTCCAGCCCTCATCCAGTCTGTTTCATCGACCATGACAGAGCAAAGTGAGCTTTACAGTGTTTGAATGAGTCCACAGGAGAGAGACTAGGGCCTCAGCAGGATCACCGGCTCTATCCACTGGAAAGCCTGTCAGAGCAGTCAGGAATCTATCAGGTTCCACCAGTCTCTTGGGAGTGGGCCATTCTAACTGGTCCCCCACCTGGGAAGAGAGATTGACTTTGGAGGAACAGCACAGAGGAAAGATTCTGTGCTGCAGCCTCAGTCAGCTCCCTCCCCTGCCACTGCTTTTAGGCTAGGAAAAATACTTCCACATCACATTCAGTTTAACCAGAAACAAACACTCCAACAGTTCCTCCTTTCACTTCCAGTTCCTGGGAAATCACTGCTCTATTTTGTCCTTTAGTGAAATTTGCAGGGAGGCGGAGATTTTTTTTTTAATGCTACTGTACTCACATATCCCCCTCAAATCTGTCTATATGGGCAGCAGACATTGCTGAATGTGTTTCAGTTGCAACTTTTATATAATTAATACAACCAACCCATTGTGAGAATAAACACATTTTTAAAAACTGTTATATTAAACTAACACAATTATTCCATAAGCTAGCGTAGGGCAGGATATTTCCAAATGCATGACTATAGCACAATAAAGGCAGAGCTTTATACCAGAGGGATGCAAGATTGACTCTGTTTTCATGGGGGATATGAGTGGGTTGTGGAATTATGCAAGGGAAGCAGTCTGTTGGATGGCCATCTGTCATGATGATGTAGTTGAGATTCCTGCATTGCATGGGGTTGGACTAGATCAGGGGTTGGCAAACTACAGCTCCCAGGCCGGATCAGGCCCGCTAGGGTTCTAAATCCAACCCGCCTGGCCATTTAAGAACCTGCTGCGAAGCCGAGACTCCAGGCGATGGCGACGGAAGAGGCCGAGTGGCTGCATCTCTGCCAATAAAACGCTGCACCTGGTTTATCTCAGTGCGGTGACATCTCTGCCAATCAAACACCGTGCAATGCTGAGGTAAACCAGGCACAGCATTTGATTGGCAGAGAAGCCGCCACTCGGCCCTGGTGCTCCTGTGGTTGCTGCTGCTCTGCATCCCCGTGAGGGGCAGCAGCGGCGTTCCTGGAGGACAGCCGGTTTGGGCTAGGGTTTGGGGCCACTGTGGGGCTCCCATTGGCGGCTGAAATGACAGTGGAGGATGATGAGGCCAGCGGCAAAGTGGCCCAGGCGGCGGCCTTCACCTCCGGGGAGCAGGAGGATGAAGGGGTGGAAACACTTGCATGGGGCGGCAGCTGCAGTGAGGCACCAGCTTGTCCTTGTCTCCATCTCCGTGTTCCTTGAAGAGGTGCACTGGGCAGTGCGCGCCACACTTGGCCAGCTCCTGCAGGCTCCCGGCTTCCGAGGTGCCCAGCTCCCACAAGCGTGCCAGCCCACTCTCCAAAACTTCCTGTCCAGCCCCCAACAGTGTCCGAGGGACACTGAAACGGCCCTGTTTAAAAAGTTTGAGGACCCCTGGATTAGATTGTCCTTGGGGTCCTTTCCAACTCTACAATTCTGTGGTAACTAGGTCAGCATAAGGAGTGAGCTACAGAGATCAGTTTGTTTTTAATCTGATTTCTCCTTTTTATTCTTAATAAAAATTCATATAATTTGGCTGTTGGGTGCTGAAGTGTGGTTTTGCAAAACACTACGATAATATCCCACATACCTGGCCACTGGGCATATGCCGCTAGGGCAAAAAAGGAGGTTTCATTGAGAAAAGAGCAGGCTGCGTGGAATCCTAGGGTGGGAGAGGCAGCTGGATGCCAGCCCTGTTGTCCTGAGTAAACTGAGAGGAATCTGGCTAGGAAACACAGAGTGCATTGTCTTGGGAGCCTGGGTTTTAGTATTTTACAGTTCTGTCTCATCTGTGAGCTATAAGTGTGAAAGGGAGTGGTTGTGGCAGTGAGTAGCTGGCCGGAGGCAGCTGGCCAACCCTACAGGGCAGTTTTGCAGCAGTTGCACAAGGAAGGGCATAAGTAGGCTCTCCTAGCCTTTCCCCTTCCATTAGAGAACAAAGGCTTGTTCTTGGTCTACAGCTTGAACCTGGGTTTGGACCTCCTGCTGATCAAGCCAAACCATGGCTCAGCACTGAGCAGCAGGAGAACCTGGGGAGGAAGGCAGCAGCTGCAATCTCCTCTCCTGCAACCCGCACATTACGTGCAGTCTGGGTCTATTATATTTTGCTTGGGAGGGATGAGAAAGTTTTGAATTTTTATATCTTATTAAGTTTTTTTGTTTCAGGGAAGGTTGATTACACTGACAGAGGAATAAGAATGTATTTCTATGCTGATAGTTCCACCCTTGGGAACTTGAGCTCTTAAATCATCTGCTTAAATATGCATGTGTGCATTTCTCTTATGTTTTTACCACATGCAAAGGTTGGAAAAATAATCTGTGTCTTAAATAAGAAGGGGGAAATGGAACAAAAACAAACAGCAAGCAAAAGAGAAAAAAAGAGAGGACATGCACACAGTGAGAAGAATGTCAAGAGTTAATCCCTGGTGTAATACACTGGAGGGTAAATTCATGTTGTCAGAGGAACAGTTCATGCAAGATTTATGTGTCCCCCCCCACCCTCCGGTGAACTTTAAGGTAAACCTCAGCCGGCGACTGCTGCATTCCTCATAAACCCCTAGCACAGCCCGCTGCTGCTTTTCCAAACTGCTTTCTCATTATTCAATAGCACATTTTTCCACAGCATTCTGCTCTTGTTAATACTTGCTTGCTGCAATTTTTTTTTAGTTCTGCAGTAAAAACACCTGTGTTTTATTAAGACTCAAAAATTGTGTTCCGCCTCCTTATTTTGACTGCAGTGGCATTAACCCTTTCAGAAGTATGATTTTGAGGACTGCTGCTGAATCCAAAAAGAAAGGCGCTTAAAAGAAGAATGGGCTATCAGAGAAAGTGACACAGGAAAGCATGGTTTTGTGTGGGGCTGGGGTAACTATGGCCTTGTGTAATGCTTGCTGCCATATCACAAAGTGAAGCTTGGGTGAATGAATATGATCTTGCAACAGAAGGGATGGGGATGGGGCTAGCAAACTGCAAGTTGACTACGGCCTGGTTTGCACATCATGGCAAGTCAAAATATGGCTTACAACAGGTGTGCAGAACCTTTGGCCCTCCAGAGGTTGCTGAACTACAATTTCCATCATTCTTGGCCATGGGCTATGCTGGCTGGAGCTGATGGGAGTTGTAGTTCAGCAACATATGCAAGGTCAAAGATTCCTCGTTCCCTGCTTACCAGGCCTACTCAAATGTGTGGGTTCCCATAGGGAGCTGATGGGTTCAGCAACACAAAAGGTAAAGTAAAGGTACCCCTCCCCGTACGGGCCAGTCTTGACAGACTCTGGGGTTGTGCGCTCATCTCACTCAAGAGGCCGGGGGCCAGCGCTGTCCGAAGACACTTCCGGGTCACGTGGCCAGCGTGACAAGCTGCATCTGGCGAGCCAGCACAGCACACGGAAACGTCGTTTACCTTCCCGCCAGTAAGCGGTCCCTATTTATCTACTTGCACCCGGGGGTGCTTTCGAACTGCTAGGTTGGCAGGCGCTGGGACCGAGCAACGGGAGCGCACCCCGCCGCGGGGATTCAAACGCCGACCTTTCGATCGGCAAGCCCTAGGTGCTGAGGCTTTTACCCACAGCGCCACCTGTGTCCCTTTTAGTTCAGCAACATATGCAGGGTCAAAGATTCCCATAGAGGCCCCTATAGCTGATTTGTTTATTTGTCTCTTTTTTTACTTGTACTGAAACTGGGACTCATGTTTAAACTCTCTGGGAGCCTGCATGCTTGTGTAGTCCCAGTAAACCACCATTTGGCTTACTGTGACATGAGAACCAGCTCAGTGAAAGGAAATCTGTGGTGATGTGGGACAGGTGAGAAAGGAGGGCAAGGCCTCAGAGGCTGTGGAATCATTGCGACATTTTAGTAAAAGTGAGCTCTGAGAGAAAGAATGCAAAAGTGCTTAAGGCTGATGACCTAATCTTTGCCTTCTTAGTACAAAGAGTCAGATGGGTGCAAGACAGAAAGACGTGATCCCTGTGCTGTCAGATCTGTTCAAATCAAACAACCGCATGTACCCAGAATCAGGTACATAGTGCTGCTCCACCCATTTGGGTCACAGAAGGGGGAAATTGCAAAACCAGCACCGGCTACATCAGCAGCACCAATCAAGGTACAACATTTCTCATAAAAGTCACAACGAACCTTTTCTGTTTTCAGGGAAATACGCCTCCTGTAGCAGCAAACAGAAGCAGGGGAAAGTCTTGTGCAGATGCATCCTTAGTGCTGGAGTGCAGGAATGTTGGCAAATGACTCAAGGCATGAAGGAGCCCCTACAAGAATCGAAAACCTCTCATCTCCACTTCCTTTACCGCTTAATGGATGTAGGTAACAGAAAGTTTTAAAAGGTAATAAAAACCTTGGTGGCTTGAATGTTTTGTTAATTCTGTTCTGAGTTGTATCAGAATTACAGGGTAGTATTGGCACCTAGTTTTTGGCAGTTGTTCTTCTCTCCACCTTTAGAACTATTGTCTTCAGGCTACGAAGCACATATTACGGTGTTCATGATAGTCACCTCTTACTAGTTTCTATGCGACATTCTTCTACTCATATCTATAGGTGTTCTACAAAAAAAGAAATTTACCTTGTAAAAGAAAGTTGTGCCAAAGGGCTCATATTCCAAAACTGCAAAAAGGGGATGAACAAAAATAAGCAAAATCAGCTTTGATGGGATTTACCAGCAGAGTATATAGTAGCATAACTCAGAGAGGTTTCAGCTCAAGGGACATGGAACTCATCTGTTAGAACCATTTACACATGTATGTGTCTGAAGACTAAAATCACAGTGCTCAATACATGTAAACAATGTTCAAAACTACTTCAGTGTGACTGTGTATAAACCTGACTTGCACTTACAGAACTTCACTCATTGTCAAAGCTGTAATTTGCATTTGCTTGTATACTGTGGTTTGGAACCATTATATGTCAGACTTGAAGAATATGCGCAAATTAAGGTAATCGCATGCTATCACCACTAATTTACATACAAATGTAAACATCCAAACTCATGAAATATGTTGGGCCCTGTTATTATGGAGAGTAAACAGCAATGACTCGCCTGTTATTTACACAGCCACCCAAACAGGGCATTTTCTTCCACTGTCACCCAGCTGGGCAACACAGCAAGGGGTATAGAAGTCAGTGTCTAACCTATGTTCCGAAATGGGCTCATAATCATGCTTCATAGGTGGCCTGGCCACCTGGATTATGACTCGACAGTAATAGGGGGTTTGCCATTGCTGATGTTGTGGTTGTTGAGCTATGTGGCATTCTTTTTTCCTTTTTTAAAAAAAGGCGGGGGAGGGGGAATGGAGCAACTTAGGCGTTCTTTTCTCAGAACTATGAACATTTTTCTTCCCACTACTGAAATGACTCTAGCTATAGATGATTCTTTCCTCCTCAAAGAACTAGCTATGAAAGAGGAAAGCTTGTTGTATTACAGGTGGCGACCATTTTGCATGCGTCCAATTGACACGACTGCCGACGTGCAAGTCCTTTTGGATCCAGAAGAGGGCAGAATGGGGGACGTAACAGGGCAGAGCGGGCTTATGCATGCTCTGCCAAAGCGTGGGGGGCCAGGAGTGGAACCCCCATGCAAAATGGTTGCTACCTGTACTTCATTTTATTTTGTTGCATGTAATCACTTTTATGGCAGATTTGCAAGAAGTGTCAAGTGCTGTAAAGCATATTGTACTGACCTTGAGGATAAAATCATCAAGCTGCTATGGAAGGTAATCTGAAGTACAAATCTGAGTGAGCAGCACTCATTTAATTTCACCGTTGCCCCATATTGTCTCAGCACTATCTCTATCATTACACTTGTTTAATGTAGCCAGGATTAGCTTCTGATGAAAATGCCACACAATCAGGGCTGTAGCTGGGGGTGGCGAGTTGGACCCCTGCCCAAAATCTGCTTAAAAATGCCCATAAATCTGCTAAAAATCTGCTTAAAAATGCCCATAAATATGTCTGCTTCATCCTCTTGATCGCCGGAGCCTATGTACCATGCGCCTATATGGAAATCTCCATGCGTGCATGCACACAAAGCGTAGCGTTTTGGAGAGGCCAGCCAGCTGCAGCAGGAGTTCCATTGGGGGTGTCGCCTTTCGCTTTGAACCCTCTCTTTGCTTGGCTTCCTCTCTGCCTGTCCCCTCCCCAAAAGAAGACCAGGACAGGCCCCTTGTTGAGTAGAAAGGGGGATTGGGGGGCTTTTATCCCCTGCCCCCCAGGAGGAGGAGGAGCGCTGCCCTCCTTTGCATGCCGGGGGCCTCCTCCTCTGTCGCAGCGCAGGCTACGAAGGCGCCAACGAGGTGAGTCAGAGGGCGCTGCTTTGCAGAAGCGAGAAGCCACCAAGACACTTTCCTGCTTTCATGGAACTGAACCCCATTTGAACAGGTCAGCTTCCTTCTGAGTAAAAGCATGGATTGGCTTGGGCTAAATAGTCATGCAAATAAAGAGGGTGTGTCAGACTCCAAGCCCTGATCAGGAGAGAAATGATAACACCTGGGCACCATTGAAGTCAATGGATTTGTTAGTGGTGAATTAAATTGTCCCATTCATTTCAATGGGATGTGGGCTGCAATGGGCTTTTGCTGAATTGGGATCATCAAGTGTAAAATTTGGCGAGTGTAATAATGTAAATTGTGAAATGGGACTTTTCTGAAAGGACAAACAGGGTCTAGGCGTTCAGAGAATATAACATCAATACTATGCCAGTTTCAAGCGGCAGAGCTACTTGAAAATATTGGCGCGACTTCCCATTTAGATATGTTGAAATGTATGACCAAGTATGGGTTAAGAGATGTTTATCTCAATATCTAAATAGCACTGAGAACATGTCTCACTATGCATCTTGTGAATGTAGTTTCAATAAATTAAAACTCATAAAAAACAACCTAAGATCAAGTATGAGTGAAACCAGACTAACAAATCTAGCAATTTTGTCCATCGAGTATGAACTAACAAAAAAAATAGACTTTGATGAAATTATTACTGAGTTTTCTTCGATTAAAGGGAGAAAAATAAAGTTATGATCACATTAGACTTCATTGAGGAGATTGCTACTTAAAGCCAGAGTTGGCCTAACTTGACTTTTAATTTTAATTTTTTCCCTTCAAATAACAACTCTTGTGAATAAGAAGTTATAACTTGTAACTTGTGATTTGTGAATCATAATAGTCTTCTTACTTTATATTAACCAAATAAACACAGATATTGCAAAAGTAATGCCATTTACATCATATAGTATTATAACGTAAAGTTATTATCATGGAACAATTCAGTATGATATTGTTTGTACATTTCATTTAGGCCTATCTGTGTATTGTTTTTACAACTGAATTACTTTAAAAAACCCTGTCAACTCACATCAAAATGTCATTTTCTTTGCTGAAACCTTTTATTAAGAAATAATAAATTAAATATTGGATTTTCTGTGAAAGAATTCATTACAAGGTGAACTGCATGAGGAATTGAATGGGTGGGCGGGCATGGGTTTGAGAAGAGGCGGAAAGAAGAGCTAATCTGTCCGTGGCTAGGGGGCGCAATCTGGACGGTTCTGCCGGGGCAAAGATCACCTGGCTACGGCTCTGCACACAATAGAAAAAAAACAATTTCTAGGTGATGGGGTACAATGATATAAATTAGCTAGTTACAGTGAAGGGGGAGGTAAAGACAAATGCCCAAGAGGAGGAACAATATGATCTTGTCCAGATCATATTTGAGGGCCAATCCTTCAAAAGCTTGTTCCTTTTGCAAAAATACCAGGAAGTAGAGTGCAAACAGGGATAGAGTACCAGATGAGGTATGGACTGTTCATGCAGAAATCCACAGCAAACGACAAACAAACAACCCCCCCCCACTCAAAACCCCCCACTACTCTGCTTATTTGTATGCACTATAAAGTATGCAGCTCAGCAACAATAGCAATGGCACATAATTCTTGCAAGCAAAAGTTGTTCCCATGCCTACCAGGTATAAGTAACGAATCAGTCACTACATTAAAAAAAAAATGTTAGTAGGTTAGGAAATAAGCATAATCACCTATAATTTAGACATGCCTAAAACAGGATACACAAAAAGTCACAAAACTGCAGTTTAAGAGAGCCACTAATTTGTGTCATAATGCACAGCACTTAGTGGAGAAGAAAGAGGCATTCACTTACATTGGCTACTATGCTATGGAGCACAATTGATGTGTGAGAGTAGCTTAATGAGCACAATTCTATTGCTTGTTAACTTTGAAGTAGGTCCCACTGTATTCAATGGGAGTTATTTCTTAGTAACTAGTGTTTAGAACAGCAGCTTTAGTTTGTGCTACTGGTCTGGACTAAGGTTACCAGATTTTTTTCAAAGAATCCGGGGACACTTTTTTCTTTTTGAAAAGAGAAAAAAAAAGTTATTAAAATATATATATATATATATTTAAAAAATTAAGAAGTCATATCTTCTCTTCTGTGGTCTCCTCTGTCGTGTGGCCTTCCTCTGGGCCCCGGCCTGCAATCTTGGAGCGCTAGCAGCCATGGACAAGGCTCAGGTCGGGCCTGGGCTCGGCCACGTATCCTTGCCTTCCCAGTGCTCTCCTAACTCTCCTCAGTGGCGGCAGCAGCAGCGGCGTGGCAAAACCGGGACTCCCCTCTTTCTTCTCCTTCCTCTTTCTCTCTCTTCCTTCTCCTTCTTCTCTCCACCTTCTCCCTGCGTTGGCTCTGGGGTTTTCCTGGTCCCAGAGCACCGCTGGGCAGTTGGCCAGGCACTCTTGCTTCTGGCTCGATTTGGGTCGGGGGGGGGTCAGCAGTTCCCCCAGTTGACGCACCGGGCGTCCCTGGTTCCCCCTCCGCAGTGGCGGTGGCAGCAGCAGTCTCAGCAGCCCGGAGCCAACCTGGTAGCGCAGTTGGCTCTGGCTGGCTTCAGGAGCTGCTCATTGCTGGCTTTGGCTGGCTTCAGGAGCTGCTCATTGCAAATGATTCAGCAGAGGAAACACAGCCCAGAATAACTAAGGAGATAGTACAAGAATACTTGGCTAGTCTAGATGTATTCAAGTCTCCAGGGCCAGATGAACTGCATCCAAGAGTATTAAAAGAACTGGCAGATGTGATTTCAGAACCACTGGCAGTCATCTTTGAGAATTCCTGGAGAACAGGCGAAGTCCCGGCAGACTGGAGGAGGGCAAATGTTGTCCCTATTTTCAAAAAGGGGAAAAGAGAGGACCCAAATAATTACCGCCCAGTCAGTCTGACATCAATACCAGGGAAGATTCTGGAGCAGATCATTAAGCAAACAGTCTGTGAGCACCTAGAAAGGAATGCTGTGATCACCAATAGTCAGCATGGATTTCTGAAAAATAAGTCATGTCAGACTAACCTGATCTCGTTTTTTGACAGAATTACAAGCCTGGTAGATGAAGGGAACGCAGTGGATGTAGTCTACCTTGATTTCAGCAAGGCATTTGACAAGGTGCCCCATGATATTCTTGTAAAGAAGCTGGTAAAATGCGGTCTTGACTATGCTACCACTCAGTGGATTTGTAACTGGCTGACTGACCGAACCCAAAGGGTGCTCATCAATGGTTCCTCTTCATCCTGGAGAAGAGTGGCTAGTGGGGTGCCACAGGGTTCTGTCTTGGGCCCGGTCTTATTCAACATCTTTATCAACGACTTGGATGATGGACTCAAGGGCATCCTGATCAAATTTGCAGATGACACCAAACTGGGAGGGGTGGCTAACACCCCAGAGGACAGGATCACACTTCAAAACGACCTTGACAGATTAGAGAACTGGGCCAAAACAAACAAGATGAATTTTAACAGGGAGAAATGTAAAGTATTGCACTTGGGCAAAAAAAATGAGAGGCACAAATACAAGATGGGTGACACCTGGCTTGAGAGCAGTACATGTGAAAAGGATCTAGGAGTCTTGGTTGACCACAAACTTGACATGAGCCAACAGTGTGACGCGGCAGCTAAAAAAGCCAATGCAATTCTGGGCCTCATCAATAGGAGTATAGCATCTAGATCAAGGGAAGTAATAGTGCCACTGTATTCTGCTCTGGTCAGACCTCACCTGGAGTACTGTGTCCAGTTCTGGGCACCACAGTTCAAGAAGGACACTGACAAACTGGAACGTGTCCAGAGGAGGGCAACCAAAATGGTCAAAGGCCTGGAAATGATGCCTTATGAGGAACGGCTAAGGGAGCTGGGCATGTTTAGCCTGGAGAAGAGGAGGTTAAGGGGTGATATGATAGCCATGTTCAAATATATAAAAGGATGTCACATAGAGGAGGGAGAAAGGCTGTTTTCTGCTGCTCCAGAGAAGCGGACACGGAGCAATGGATCCAAACTACAAGAAAGAAGATTCCACCTAAACATTAGGAAGAACTTCCTGACAGTAAGAGCTGTTCGACAGTGGAATTTGCTGCCAAGGAGTGTGGTGGAGTCTCCTTCTTTGGAGGTCTTTAAGCAGAGGCTTGACAACCATATGTCAGGAGTGCTCTGATGGTGTTTCCTGCTTGGCAGGGGGTTGGACTCGATGGCCCTTGTGGTCTCTTCCAACTCTATGATTCTATGATTCATTGCTGTGGCGCCCGCCATTTTGCCTCACCGGAAGTCCCCATATGATGTGTCTTGTGCCGTTGAACCAATCACGCAACATTCATTCCCTACTAATAAACCTATAACACTTAAAATATAAATCCAGGGACATTGAATGAAATCCGGGGATGGATTTGTAAATCCGGAGTCTGTCCCCGGGAAACATTGATGTCTGGTAACCATAGTCTAGACCCCACTCTTCACATGCTCAGTTGCTACCTCAAACGGTCCCCGAGTCATGGCTCATCCATATGTACCTTTTGTCTTGCACTTTCTAGGCACAGGTGCATGCTTTCCCAGTCCTACTGCTCCCCCCCCCCCCGCCCATTGCTTTCCCCAGGGAAACCCGATTTTTTGTTGAATCAGAGCAAGCAGCAATTTGGGTTTTCCGCAGATTGCTGTTTGCTCCAATTCAGCGGCAAACAGCACCGCCAGGGGTGGGGGACAACGCTGTCAGACACAGACCTGGAAAGCCTGGTCCTGTGCCCAGAAATGCAGAACAAATATAAATATGGATGGGCCCTCAGGGGAGAACTATGGACACTATTTAGGTAGAGTTGATGCTCCTGAAAACCAGCTGAGAACTGGGATTGTGAGTGTGTCAACATTTTAAGAGACTTTGGCTGTCTACACACCCTCAAAACACATTCTTCTCCTCAAAGAGTTCTGGGTATTGCCTGTGTCCACAGCACCTGGTTTGGGACTCAGACTAAGTAGGAGTGAGATGAAAACCCCATTTCCTATGGTTGACAGAAGGATGGAGATGTGAATCTGCATGCTAGTTAGGTTCACCCTTCCTAATGCTTCTGTCTGCCACACCGCCACTGTCTTGGGTTTGCCAGTGTGAGGGGAGAGAGGGACTTGCAATCAGTACACAGACTTATTCCTCCTGGTATCCTCACAGAGCTTCTGATGCCTTAAGGACCAATGAGTCTTAAAGAGTAACTACAGCTGAAAATGGAATCCCTTCCTCTTAGGTCTCTGCTCGAAACAACTGAAATACTGGGAGGCTTGAGGCAGATTCTGCCTCTGAGGAAAACATGGGAGTCTGCTCAGACCTTTCTAGAACCTTGGTGAGCTAATCTGCCCTACATTGCATATTGAAAAGTGAGATATGGGAGCACTCCTAGGCTGTATAGAAGTAACTTTGGAAATGGTACTTGGAAAATGAATTAGCCGGCAACTAATCTGCTCTTATCCGTGTTTCTGTGAACTGGATTCTTTTATTCTGTCTTCCAAAGCTGAGATTTTAGCAGATTTCAAACAGAATAAAAATAAAACAGAAAATAGGCATATTTGGACTGATTACTCAACAGGGGTCGTTTGTGACAGGAAGTGCAGCTGTGTGACTAATAGGCCTGACTTTTTCTTGGCTTCTTTCCCCTTCAAAATTCTTGTTTACTGCTTGGGTTCTAAAAAAATAATAATAGAATGGCAAAAGCTAGCAATATTCCAGGAAAAAATGGTCTGTGCAATAAGCAAAGGCAGTAAATTTTACAGAAAATCAGGGCTACAGAACACTCCTCCAAATATTCCTTCCAGGCTCCTGACTCACGTCATCTCTCCCCCTGCTTTTCTCAAAACATATGTCTAGCAGATCCCTTTTTCTCCTGAGGGGAGGGGAAGCATATGAATCATATTTTGAACATTTAACTCTGGAATTCCTGAGAAGAAAACTAACTCCAAGGAAACAAAGGGACTTTGTGCATTTTGCATTGCTATTGCTGGTTCCTAATAATCATTTTGCTTTAATCAGAAGTTGGAAAACACTTTTGCACACTGTGAAGACAAGAATCTGATCTTGATATGATGGGAAGGTTCATAGAATCACATGAAGCATAATCAACA